AGCATATTTGAATAATATATTATATTTAAGGAAACGCTATCTAGATTACGGTATTAGATATGTCAGGGCATAAAAATAAATGGCCGAACAATTAGTATGAAAATATCTTTAGAATACGTCCCAATGATAGGCCGTGTTTGCAAACAGTGTCAAAATAACAATAATACAATTCGTCCTGTATCATCAACTTATTTATCAATAATTGTCTCGGTTTTAAAATTGGTCATTCTCGGGGCATTCTCTTTCGTACTAAATTAGCTTGAAGACATAAAACATCTATTTCCTGTGACACCTACTTAAAAAAAAGGAAGTTAACGAAAGAAAAGCTAAGGTCATCCCTTATATCATAAACCCGTAGTTAAGTTGACGGCCATTAATTGTCACAAACACTTCCAAATATATACAAGACCCCCCACGTTAAAAACAAACAAACAAACAAACAACATTAAGTAATAACATCGAAATCGATTCTAACAAATAATTTTATTATTTCTTTTGATTTAAGGATATATAATTTAAGGATATATAATTTTTTCTACTGGCTGGGAAATGTGTTTAGAGTCTGACAAAGGCCAACTAACAACTAAATTTCTTGACAAACGAGATGATATGAATTATTTCATCGTCAACGTTCCCTATTTATGTAGTAATATTCCGCTTTCATTTGCATATGGTGTTTACCGAATTAATCGATTCTAAAGAGCATGCTCGGAGTACGATCAAATTTTAAACTGAGGCCGTCTACTGACAGATAACTTGATGTTGCAGGGATTTAAACAACTTGTTATTGTCCACATATCGTAAATTATAGAAAATAACCCATCATTGGGTCGTATTTCAGCGGACTTGCTTCATAAAAAGTTTTACTTTGATTTTATATACTGAATTTGATTATGGAATGTTCCGTTTATCTGATCTATGTATAGGGCTTACGGCGGGTGTGGCTGGTCAACAAGGGATGCTTACTCTTACTAGTCACCTGATCCCAACTCTAGAATTATCGGGGATCCGTGTAAGGCTTTCTTCACACACTTAAAGTCTGTGAATTTCTTGTAAGTAGGAGAGTTATGGTCATCCTGAAAGTCATCGGGTTCACAGGTGCGTGAAATTCAATAGTACATAGGGTCCCAACATGTAGGTAGGTTAGTTAGAGAGCCGACAGGGTATGCCAAAGGTTCCGGGCTCGAGTCCCGATGGAGACTTAATTTTCTCACCACCTGTGACAACCCAAAGAATCATAGAGAGAAATGCATTCTGTTGACTGAGGAACTAACCAAATGTGGAAGCAACAAAGTTAAAAACCACAAACAGGTTAAAGAAGGCAGGAACTACAAAAATTGTTTAATGCAGATTGAAGAAAAAAAAAGCGTGGTCATTCAACAAAATTAACATATTCGTCGAAACAACTTAAACGTGTTCAATAAAATTTCAAAAATAGAAATGATGTGGGGTTAAACACAAGTAGAACATTTGTCAGACCTCGTCAAGGTCATTTTCTGATCATTTAAGTATACAAATCGGTATGACTTCTGGGAATCGCTAGGCAGAACATGACGTAACGGTAGACTGATCTATGAGTTGTTTACTACTGCTGTTCACTCTCCCCAGAGTTGCCCACTCAGGCTGTATATCGAATCGTAGCATATTGTCACCCTTCCCAGCACACTGTCACCTGTTCCAACAAATTACTATTCTCGTCTCTTCATTATTTAAAGCAAATTAAATCATGGTCATGTTTGTTTTGGAAGGAAAGCAAAATCCATTTCGCATTATGTATAAAAGGATAGTTCCTGACTTTGTGTAAAGATTCCGTAAACTCTTAAATAAAGTAATGTTTATAGAAGTTAGAACAATTTGTGGTAGAAATAATTTCAAAAGTTTTATACAAGGAAAACGATCAACCAAAAATTATTGGAGTTTTATGTGACTTGGAAAAGTACTAATATCCCGCATCATTGAAATAGGTAATGACTAAAGCAGTTTTAGGGTGAAGGTTTCTCAAGTGAAGAAAATGTCTTACTTCGTGAAAGAATTAAGTCGCCTTGAGGGATCAGGTGGTTTAAGAGTGTTTTATCATGTTTTTAATATCTAGATACATTGCACTTTTTGTGGAAAGTAATATCATTGAAATAATACAAAGCTACCAATGTAAAAAAAGAGAAAAATAATGAATGAAGAAACCCCCAGACTCTAATGTTTTAAGATCGAATATGTCATTGGAAGACAATACGCAGGAGACGCGTAGACTTGGTTTCTTCTGGAACATAATATTAGGTGACACTTTTTGTTTGACTCCAAGGACTTGTCTAGTGTGCAAAATCCACAAATACTGGCAGAGTAAGAATCAATATTTAGACGATTTAATGGAAAACACATTCTGCCACGTTAGTACCGGAGTCATTCATAAGTTTTCTAATGTCAAAATGTAAATGTCAGCAGATCTGGCAACAACGTAATTTAACCTGGAACTAAAAGGGGTAAGATAGAATTAGATTATTTATAAACTTATTTATAAAAAAGCTCCATAATGTAGTTTTTGCTTAAATCGAATTTTCATTAAAGATTTTTTAAAATAAAAAATGCTGATTCTTTTTTATGAACTGCACTTATGCTTTCAAACCAATTTACGCAGGGCAATATTTTGAGATTGGGTGAAACGATAGCTTGTAGTTTGAGATAAGTTGTCACGACAGTATGTAGTCTATGCACGTTATTTTAAAGAAAGGTGATGAAAAAATATTAAGACTGTGAACGTTCGCTTGAGATAGGGTGACATGATTGTATGTAGACTGTAGGCGTCAACTATAAAACGACTATTATTCGCGTCAACATTTATTCGCGATTCTTCGGTTCGAAATCAATCCGTGATGATTAGTTTTTGCGACTGAAATAATTTATTCTGCAATTACAAGGCAAAATAACTGATTCGCAGCGAATACACGGCGGGTGTGACCGGTCGGGAGGGGATGCTCACATCTCCATGGCACCTTATCCCACCTCTGATGTTTTGGATGTCCGTATTTTCTCTGCTCCTATTTTGTATTGTTTTATGGATTTTTGATCTTGAATACTGTTCGTTATCTCCATAAGTTTCATTTATGAGTTAAAAAAAAGGTTACGAAACTCACGGATATTTCTCGCACGCGAATAAAAGTTTACAGAGTTTTGTTTTTTTTAAATTAGGTGACACTACAGTTTATACACTGTGGACGTTATGTTGAGATCAGGTGACACCGAGTGTGTATACGACGTTATTTTGAGATCAGGTGACACCGAGTGTGAATATGACGTTATTTTGAGATCAGGTGTCACCAAGTGTGTATACGACGTCATTTTGAGATCAGGACAGCATTATTTTTGCAGTCGGAGATATGACGTTTCAATGGTGGCATTAAAATATTTAAAGAAAGTTACATCTTTTCGGCATCAAAATAGACAGAGTAATGAGCTTCTCAAATTCTAAGGCTTTGCATCTTCGTAACTTTATACTTTACACACATTTTTGAAACGAAGAACGTTGTCTTCACAAATCTACAAATCTAGAAATTAGCAGGTAAAAAAAAAATACAAATGGGAATATATTCTCCTCAGGAAAGGGATGCAAAGAAATTATCACTTGTTGATGAATAAGTTTTGTTTGATAATAAAAAAAATAGCCTCTATGTTAACTGTGCTTCTCAGTGGTGTAAGTGAAAAAGAGTTCGTGAAAATGAATTGATATTTTGTAGTATAAAATGAATGCCTGTATAATTCCTTTATCAATCTCTGCCTTGTTCGATTAATTGTTTACCAGCATGATTTCCTATATGTTGAATCAAGTCAAGGAATATGTTGTATGTTTTCTTTATACAGTGTTAATGTATAAGAATCAATAATTGAGAGACATTTTCATAGGCATAAAAGAATGACAACTCTAATGAAAGCCTAATCATTATTTCAGGTGCCAAAGAGTAGAGACAAGAAGTACGTATACTCTCTCTCTCTTTCTCTCTCTTTTTCTCTCTCTCTCTCTCTCTCTCGTGTGTGTGTGTCTGTGTGTTCAGAGAATGAGTCATGATAAAAAAAACACAATGTTATATCTAACATAATAACAAATTATCAATTAAAAATGTTTGGACCTTGTACATGGTCAGATTGAAACAGCTTTTTTTTCAATTGTTGGAAACCACTCTTTTTACCATAGATTCAAATCAGTCGCTTCTGTGATTTTCGGTTGAGGCCTCAAATAGAGAGATCACGTGAACATTTTAAGCAAAGATAATACAAGAAAAGATGCCTTGAGTGATATATATTTTTACCTGTTTTTGTTCTAAAAGATTAGAATGATAAATTTCTAATATATTAAGAAATTGTTAACTTTCTGGGATGTTCCAAGTTAAAGACCCTCTCTACACAAGTGCAAATTTTTTTTTGGACATTGAGAAAAATATATTTTACAAAGGAGTTAATATTGTGCTTATTTATTTTATTTTCACTATATGGTGCGTGGCATTTACCCCCGGGAAAAAAGTCCAAAGGCAACACAGTACCAGTGACTAGAAATCACTGTTAATTACTTCAATAGAGAAAATACATGTAAATAACACGTCCATATATTTATTTTGGTATTTTAAAATGTTAAGAATATTTGGATTAAATACAAATCGAGTAATATATTGTAAATTTCTATTTTTTAGAAGTTTGATATAAGGGCGGATCACTCTAACTGCAGAAAAATACCTTAGAATCAGAACTCTTTAGTGTGCAGTGTAGAGAGGGTTCTTAAACCATTCTGCCATCATCCTTATTAATCTTAACAACCTTTTGACACTTTAAATCCATAAAAACTGTGATAAATAAAAATATTTGCTGTTAAAAGGATTCCTTTTACTTATAAAAAGTTTGCTTAAGTTATTTTCAAGTTTTTGGATAAAAGTTTGTATCATCTGTCCTGTTAGACAAACATGCAGTACTATTTTGTTCAGCATCATCTATAATAAATGTATTTTTGGACCACCCAGGTTATCTAGGTAACGAAGTTTCATCTCTTTCAGTGGAGCCCTTAGAGTTGGCTGCTATGTTGACTGCCATTGTAAGTCTCGTGCTGTTTAGCGTGGGACTTCTCAGTTTCTGCTGCTGGAAGTTTCCCTCCATTAGAACCCGAACTTACTGGGACAAACAGACAAAGAAAATACTCAGATCAATGTATAGTAAGTAATGCTAAATCAGATTTAATATTTTAAAATGAAAATATAAAGTGTTATAAGATTAAAATCAAGACCCAGCTCAGATACATGGACCATTTCCGAAGGCGACATTTGACAGAGCGCATGTTATTTCATGTTCCTTTGCTCTTTCAACGAAATGCTTAATTGATGTTTTGGAAATCAATCTAACCAAAGCTAACAACAGCATGCAAATTGTGATTGCTTCAATAGTGAACACAAATAAAGCTGAAAAACAAAAGAATCTGGTTTTATTTCATCCAGACACTGTTTAGTATTTAACATTAATATCCCGAAAAGGGCCCTGTATAAACGTAGAAACTTTTGATTCAGCATGATGGGGTTTCCTTTTCTATTCACGACACAATAAGGCACAATTTGAATTATTTTGTTGAATATTATGATAAAAATTATCATTCAAGCTTATTGCAAAATGTGTCTGTGTGAGGAATGAACGAGAACTCTTCAAGGAATGATAATTCGTTTCAAGCACAGATTAACTAAATTTTTTGTGGCAAATAACACTTAACAGCGTATTTCAGATTATATAATGAGTAGATATAAAGAGTATACATGTACTAGAACGTTTAAGATTATTCTGTTTTTCATCAGTGCATTAAGTTGCACACAAGTACTCTGAAGTTGACATCAAAGAGATGCTTGAGTTTCTGATTGACAAAAATCTATGTAGTTTTTGGAGACCAGGTATTCCAACAATCTATTGGAGTTCCCATAGGTACTAATCGCGCTACGTTATAAGCAGACCTATTTTTATATTCATTTGAAGCAGAATTTTACAAAATCTTATGTGTGAAAAGAAGAAAACACTTGCTGTGGCCTTCAGCTTGACATTTAGATATATCGACGACGTATAGTCAATTAACAATGGTAATTTCCATACCTACGTCGATACGATATATCCTGTTGAGCTTGAGATAAAAGATACCACAGAGTCTGACACATCTGTTTCATACTTGGATATTTTACTTGAAAAAGACCTTAATGGTAATCTAACAACAAAACTATATGATAAACTTGATGACTTTAACTTTTCTATCGTCAACTTCCCTTCCTAATGCAGCAATATACCTTCATCACCTGCATACGGAGTATATATATCTCAGCTGATTCGATACGCAACAGCATGCTCGACGTATGAACAATTTCTAAAACGGGGTCAATTATTGACAAGCAAGTTGATGAAACAAGAATTTCAGAAGGCTCGTTTAAAGTCATCATTTCGTAAGTTCTATGGTCGATACAATGACCTTGTCAGCAAATACAATTTATCATGGAGTCAAATGCTGACTGACTTTTTTCATACTATTGTTAGTCCATTATTTATACACTGAATTGACAACGGATTTTTCCGTTATTTTCCAATCATGACAAGGAGCACACAACGGGTCCGGTGTGACGGGTCAGCAGGGGATGCTCATTCCTCCATGGCACCTGATCCCACCTCTGATGTTTCGGAGGTCCGTGTTTGCTCTGCTCCTATTTTGTATTGTTTTATGGACTTTGAAATTGAATACTGTTCGTTATCTCCATATCTTTCATAAAGAGGTAACGCTTACGTCAATATATTGTGAAAGTGATACCCGTATGTACAAACCATATGACCATATATCCAGTGGGCATCTATAAACATACATGGAAATAACAAACAGTATTGGAGCTCAAAAGTAAATTCAAACAATTCAAATCAGGAGCAGGATAAACACAGACCTCTTAAACATCAGAGGTGGTATCAGGTTAGCTGCAGGCCTGTATCATTAGAGTTGTATATTTTTAGTCTTTGACCATAACCATAGCAATAATATATATATAATATATATATATATATATATATATATATATATATATATATATATATATATATATATATATATATATATATATATATATATATATATATATATATATTTAAAACCAATAATGGTCAAACACTTAAGTATTTAAAACCATAATGATACAGTTCTGCAGCTAAGATTAGGTGCAATGAAAAAGTGACATCCCTAGGCCTTGTCAAACCCATTGTGCGCTCCTTGCCATGAAAAAAACGGGGGAAAGCCGTAGATGATTCAGTGTGTAAATAATTGCATAACAATTAGTTTGAAAAACGTCAGTCAGCATTTCACTTAATGATAGATGAAACACATGGAGACAACGAACAACAGCCAAGACCAAATGTCCATAAAAAAATACAAAATAGGAGCAGAGCAAACACGGACATCCAAAACATCATAGGTAGGATCAGATGCCATGGAGGAGTGAGATTTCCCTGCCGACCGGTCACCCACGCTGTGTACTCCTTGTCATGATCGGGAATAACGGAAAAAATCCGTCGTTAATTGTGTCTAAATAATGGACTAACAATTAGTATGAAAAAGTCAGTCAACATTTACTCAATGACAAATTGTATTAGCTGACACTTGGTCATTGTATCGACCATAGAACTTACGAAATGAAGACTTTAAACGAGACTGCTGAAATTCTTTTCATCAACTTGTTTGTCAATAAAATACCTCGTTTTAGAAAATGTTCATACGTAGAACATGCTCTTGTGTATCGAATCAATTGAGATATATACACTCCGTATTCAGGTGATGAAGGTACGGGGGTTATCCAAAAAGGCAATTACTTACCTTTTCTTTAAAATAGCCCGCGATGACAAGCATGTATGATAATATCTTAATATAGACCATAATTTAGTAAATATACAAAAATTAAAACAATACACACTACATTATGAATGTTATAGGAGTAAATACTATTTTATATGCAAGCATGAAAATTAATTTGGAAATTCTAATGAATCTTTGATGTAACGCTAATTACATGATAACGTCAAAAATATTAGGAAAAATAAAATCAAAATTGTCAATAATTTTCTGATAATATTTTCGAATATTCGATAGGAATCTTCGAATATATTAAAATATTTGATAAAAATAATACATTTGCATTATAAGATATATATTTTCACTCTCCTGTGAACCAGTGTACGTTTTATGTCATTTTGGAATAAAATTTCACGTAGAGTTTTGTGAATGCAAAGTAATTATCTTTTTTAATTTTTACAGAATATATGAAGAGCATTCATCCAAAATGTAATGAAAATTAATTTGTTTCTCGAAATTCTAATGAATCTTTAGTATGTTCCAAGTGATCGTCTTACCAAAGTCTACACCAATTACTCCTACAAATTTATTTTTCACGCTAAACAATTATCTACTGAAGAAAAATTAAAATCAATTAATTTTAGATAATTAATTTCCTGATAATTATTGTAATGATATATTCATAAACATAATATTTCTGTAAAACTGTGTCCTTACAACAATACAAACTGATTGTATGTACATGGCACTGCTATACCACTAATTAAATAATCAAAGAATATTTATTCTAATAGTTACACTCTTCACAGTAATCCAACAAGAGTGTCTTTTAATTTTTTAAAATCAAATCTTATTCCTAGTCAACGGTACGGACTTGATTCAATTTCAAATGAAACTTGCCAGATTTTTCTCTCTATTGATTGCTTGTATTCTTAAAATCCGAATATTCGAATCATATATTTATATTTGAATATCAACTCATCGAATGAATATTCGAATATTCATTGACATCCCTAAAAAAATATGGATTTTGAATTTTTATATCATGTTCTTTGACACGCGCTTATTTTCTATATCATGTCACACTGCTAAGTGAGAGCAATATCATTTATGTCTAGACCATAATTGATTTAACTATTACAACACATTCGGTACAGGTCACACCCGCAAAATTGACCCTCACCCCCCATCATAATGACCCGCGGCGTGTCATTGTTTTCACCCGCAAAATCGATCATCCCAATTTTTTGACCCAATATTAATAAAGCATATTTGTCTCAACAAGAAAGATCTGAAAATTCATCCTAAAATTTCCGATTTGTGTTTTATAAATCAGGATATGAATATTTTGTTTATTCAAGGCACACAGATTTCACGCTTGATCGCAGAATGACACACCTGTACAGGTATTATGCCTGGAGCATTTAGGGGATTAATTACGTAACCATTTGAAGGGGTATATGCATGGTGAACCACATAGATTTAGAGGTTAATTAAATATCATTTTATTAAAACAGATATTAATTAAATACAATGATATGATAAACATTGGGATTGTTTTTTGAAAACGAAAGTAAAAAAAAAAACGAAACTACAAAGCATAACTGATAACAGCTGATTTTATCAGCTCTTGTATATTGAAATAATTGCTAAGTGTAGTGGTAAAAAGAAAATGATAGTAATTAAGATAAAGCAAAAGAGTCTAAAGTGAAGTATATTAATCCAAAATGTAGTATTGTCTCGTGTTAATTTTTTAAATGGCTATGACAAGGGAATACCCACTTGTCAGTCACATCATGACTCTAATTATTTTAAGTTTTTGTTTAGGGTGTTAGGTATCCTTCATAATTTATTTTGTAGTATTTAATTGATTGATTCATTTATTAATAATAATTTTTTTTGTGTGTGTTTTAAAATTAATAATAGGAAATTATGTGGCACATATTTCTTATATACCACCACCCCATGCATCAGCAATTTTTCAATATTAATCTTTCAATGCAATGTCTAATTACAATTTTCTGATTGTGTAATATGTTGAAAATTAATGTAGAATCTAACAAATGTTTCCCAGAAGAAACTTTTAAAATTTTTAAAACTTTGCAAAAATTATTGAACAAAAAGTTCTGAATCTTTTTTGAAATATCAATTTTAAGTAACCTGTCCTAAGTAAAAATTAAGTCTGCAATTATAAAATATAACATATACATGCATGTGTTTGATTGTTTGCATTTATGCCTAAAAATTGGGAGCATTTTGTTACTCAAACTTCAACAAAAATGTTGCCGCGCGATGACCCAACATTTATTCTGAATGTTGTCTAGACCAGAATCAATTTTGATTGGCAATGCTATTAAAATC